AAGGGATGGAAAAGATATACCACAGAAATGGAAACGAAAAATGAGCAGGAGTAGCTATTCTTATATCAAATAAAACAGACAAAAACCATAAAAAAGAGACAAAGAAGGCTTTTATATAATGACAAAGGGATCTATCCAAAAAGAACACATAACAATCCTAAATATGTATGCACCCAACACCAGAGCACCCAGATATATAAAGCAAACAATATTAGACCTAAAGAAATAAATAGACCCCAATATGGTAATAGTTGGGGACCTGAACACCCCTTTCTCAGCATTGGACAGATCTTCAAGGCAATAGATAAGCAGAGAAACACAGGATGTAAACTACACTTTAGACCAATCAGACTTTGCAGATATCTATAGAACATTTCATCCAACAACTACAAAATATACATTTTTCTGATCACCACATGGAACATTCTCCAGGATAGACCACATGGTAGGTCACAAATCAAGTCTCAACAAATTTTAAAAATCTGAAACCATTTCAAGTATCTTTTCAGATCACAATGGACTAAAACTAGAATCAATAACAAGCAAAACTCTGGAAACTATATGAACATATGTGGAAATTAAACAACATGCTCCTGAGTGACCTATGGGTCCAAGAAGAAATTAAACAGGAAATCGATAAATTTCTTGAAACTAATGAAAATAAAGACATATCATACCAAAACCTGTGGGATACTGCAAAAGCAGTACTAAGAGGGAAATTTATTGCAATAAATGCTTATATCAAGAGAATAGAAAGATTTCAGATAAACAATCTAATGCTACACTTCAAAGAACTAGAAAAATAAGAACAATTCAATCCCAGAATTAGTAAACAGAAATTATTAAGATCTGAGCAGAACTAAATAAAATAGAGACCCCAAAAGTGATACAAATTATCAAGGAAACAAAAAGTTGTTTTTCTGAGAAGATAAACAAAATAGACAAACCATTAACTAGGCTAACTAAAAGAAGAAGAGAGAAGACCAAATAGCAAAAATCAGAAATATAAAAAGAGACATTACAACCAATACCACAGAAATACAAAGAATCATTAAAGACTACTATAGACAATTATATGCAAACAAATTTAAAAACCTGGAGGAAATGGATAAATTCTGGACACATACAAACTACCAAGACTGAACCAAGAAGAAATAGAAAACCTGAACAGGCCAATCACAAGCAATGAGATTGAAGCAGTAATCAGCAGTCTCCCAACAAAGAAAAGTTCAGGACTGGATGGCTTTACTGCTGAATTCTATCAAAACTTTAAAGAGAAATTGATACCAATTCATTTCAAAATTCCAAAAAAATGAAACAGAGGTCATTCTCCCAAACTCATTCTACAAGGCCTGCATCACCCTGATACCAAAACCAGACAAAGATACAACAAAGACAGAAAACTACAGTCCAAGATCTTTGATGAACATAGATGCAAAAATCCTCAAGAAAATATTAGCAAATGTTATACAGCAACATACCAAAAAAATTATACACCATGATCAAGTGGGATTCATCCCAGGGATGCAAGGATGGTTTAACATATGCAAGTCAATGGTACACCACATCCACAAAACCAAGGACAAAAACCATATGTTTATCTCAAATAGACATAGAAAAAGTATTTGACAAAATTTAACATCCCTTCATGATAAAGACTCAGCAAATCAGGTATAAAAGGAAAGTTCTCAACACAATAAAGGCTATATACAACAAACCCACTGCTGATATCATCCTGAATGAAAAGATTTTAGCTTTTCCCTTAAGAACAGGGACAAGACAAGGATGCCCACTCTCACCACTCCTCTTTAACATAATATTGGAATTATTAGCCAGAGCAATCAGGCAAGAGAAAGAAAAAAAGGCCATCCAGATTGGAAAAGATGAAGTAAAACTGTCTCTGTTTGCAGATGACATGATCTCAATATATAGGAAAACCTAAAGACCTAAGCCTAGTCTTAGAGACTAGGTTTTCAAGTCTTTAAAGACTCAGAAACCTCTCAGAGCTGATAAACAATTTAGTAAAGTTGCAGGATACAAAATCAACACACAAAATTCTGTAGTGTTTTTATACTCCGACAATGAACTAGCAGAAAAAGTAATCAAGAAAGCAAGCCCATTTACAATAGTCACCAAAAAATTAAATATCTAGGAATAAATTTAACCAAGGAGATGAAAGATCACTATAATGAGAACTAAAAATCACTGCTGAAAGAAATAAAAGAGGACACAAAAAGATGGAAAGAAACTCCATGCTCTTGGATTGGAAGAATCAACATTGTGAAAATGTCCATACTACCCAAAGTGATCTACAGATTCAATGCAATCTCCATCAAAATACCAATGACATTTGTCACAGAAATAGAAAAAGCAATCCCAACATTCATATAGAACAGAAAAAGATCCCAAATAGTCAAAGAAATCCTAAGCAAAAAATAAATAAATAAAGCCAGAGGCATTACATTACCTGACTTCAAACTATACTACAAACCTATAGTAACAAAAACAGCATGGTACTGGCATAAAAACAGACACATGGACTAATGGAATGGAATAGAGAACCTAGAAACCAGCCCATATACCTACAGCCAACTGATCTTTAACAAGGGCACCAAGGACATAAAATGGAAAAAAGACTGCCTCTTCAATAAATGGTACTGGGAAAACTGGACATCCATATGCAAAAGAATGAATCTAGACCCATACTTCTCACTATATACCAAAATAAATTCAAAATGGATTAAAGACTTAAATATAAGACCTGAAACTATAAAAATCCTAAAAGATAACATATGGGAAACACTTAAGGAAATAGGATTAGGCAAAATAAGACCCCAAAAGCAAAGGTAACAAAAGAAAAAAAAAATAAATGGGATTATATCAAACTAAAAGTTTCTGCACAGCAAAAGAAACAATTAAAAAGTGAAAAGACAACCTACAGAATGGAAGAAAATATTTGTAAACTATGCATCTGACAAGAGATTAATATCAAGAATATACAAGAACTCAACAGTAAAAAAAACAAGTCATCTGATTTAAAAATGGGCAAGGGAGCTGAACAGGCATTTCTCAATGGAAGATACAAAAATGGCCAACAGACACATGAAAACATGTTCAACATCACTAAGCTAATATTAGGGAAATGCAAATCAAAACCATATTTAGATATCATCTCACCCTAGTTAGACTGGCTACTTTCAAAAAGACAGAGAATAACAAATGCTGGCAAGGATATGGAGAAAGGGGAACCCTCCTACACTGTTGGTGGGATGGTAAATTGGTGCAGCCATTAGGGGAAACAATATGAAGGTTCCTCAAACAACTACAGACAGAACTGCCAAACAGTCCAGCAATCTCACTGCTGGGTATATACCCAAAGGAATGGAAATCATCCTATCAAGGGGATACCTGCATTCCCATGTTTATCATAGCTCTATTTACAACAGCCAAGAGTTGGAATCAACTTAAATGTTCATTGATGGATGATTGGATAAGGAAAATGTGGATATATACACAATGGAATATTACTCTTCCATAAAAAAAAATGAAATTATTCCACTTGCAACAACCTGGATGGACTTAAGAGAAAATTATTGTATCAGACTTTGGTCCTTGCATTAATTTCAAAACAATTTTGAATGGGAATGGAATGGAATGGAAAGGAATGGAATGGAAAGGAAAAGAAAGGAAAGGAAAGGGGAGAGGAAAGGAAAGAGGAGAGGAAAGGAAAGGAAGAAAGAGAAAGAAAGAAAGAAAGAAACAAACAAACAAACAAACAAAGAAAAGAAAGAATCACAATAACTCGTTGAACTTTCTAAAAGAGAAGACAGAACTGAAGCCATCAGAGGTGGGAAAGGCGGGGGGAGACAGTGGATTAGCAAGAAATCGGTAAAGGCACACAAAAAATGTGTAATGGTGAATATATCAATTATCCTGATTTGAGCATCACATATTGCATGCAGGTATTGATATTTAAGGTTGTACCCCACAGATATGTACAATCAATTATGTTTCAATTTTTAAAAAAGATAATTTGCCCATCTTTCAAAATGAACAAACATATTTTCAACAAATATATAACAAAAGAGGCTACACAAATGGCCAATAAGCATATGAAAAGGAGTTCAATATTACTACTTATCAGGATGATGAAAACCTAAACCACAATAAAATAATACTTTGCACTCTCTAGAATGGCTAACATAAAATAGACTGGCCACACCAAGTGCTGATGAGGGTACGAAGCAATTGGAACTCTCATACATTGTAAATGAGAGTGTAAAATGGAAAAAAGTTTGGCAGTTCCTTATAAAATTAAACAGACATTTACCCTATGACCGTCATTCCATCCCTAGGTATTACCCAGGAATAATACAGATGGTGGGGACAGGGAGGGCAAGAAACCTAACACGGTTTGAGCCCCTTCTAATCTCAAACAAGAGGATCTCCTGCTGGGCACTGTCGATGCACTATCTCATTTCTTTCTTGCAACAAACCTATGAAGAACCATCCCTCGTTTTACAGAGCTGATAAGGGCACAAACTAGCATCTGAACTTGGTAGATCTGACCTCAAACCCCATGCTCTTTCCGCCTCACTCTTATATATACTTTCAGATTTAATAAGTTTTATTACTAAACATTGATGAAGTATTTACTATGTGCCAGGAACTCTGTGAAATGTTTTACAGGCATCACCTCATTCAACACCAATCCGGGAAAGGAGGATACTGCTATCATCTCCTTTTTACAGATAAGAAACCTGAGGCACAGAGAACAAAATAAGTCTCCCAAGCTCCCGCAGATAATAAGAGGCAGAAGCAGGAACCAAGCTCAGGCCAGCTGACGCTCCAGCTCCTACCCGACGCACTCACCATGTCCCTAAGGTCCCACGCTTCCAACCAGTTCCCTGTGGAGTAGGGGGGAGTGAGTGTCAGCTACCAACAAAGAGGACATTGACAGCAGAGGTCTACCGAAAGGTTTTTCATGGGGACATCCTTGCTTACCTGTCCAGGGCCGTGCTGGTTGGCATACTCCTCCCAAACCCTCGGACCCCTATCTGACGGAAATACGGAATGCAAGAGAGGTTGGCAGCAATAACGGCCAGGGAGTCGGAAGGGCTCACAAAGAAGCCATTTTGGCCGAGGATCATGTAACGGTCCTGTGGGAAGGAATGTCAGGAAATGATCAGACAGAAACATCTGTTGCTAGCAAGCCATTCACGTAATCAGCACAAGCCACTTTACTGCCGTCTTATATTTAAACAACCTAATTTAACGTGAATAAGGCCAACAAGAGCATGGGAAACCTTTTTCTAAATCCCTGAATAGCAAAGGCCCAGAATCTTTTTTTTTTTTTTTTGCAGCTGGCCAGTAAGGGAATCCAAGCCCATAACCTTGGGGTTATAAGGATGCACTCTAACCCTATGGCGCAGAATCTTGGCACAGCTAGGAATGTGTTTCACCTGCTAAAATGTGGATGACTATCCCATGCTTTTGTAGCCTCCATATACTAATTCCTTCTTTCCTCCCAAACGTTATATAGAACAGGGGTTATTGCTGAAACAGCTGGTTCCTTAACATGGTGCTTTCAATGAAACCAGCTGTAAATAGAGATGTATTGCATGAATTTTTTAAAAAAGAAACAACCTTTTTATAACACACTGCTAATCTGAAACTAAGAAAAATAATGGATATTTAACTGTAATATTTAGCCATTGAACAGAAGAGTAGATGCAGAGCCAATTACAGTACACATGCCCCATACATGTTAGCTCCAGATATGTTCGTTGACTCTCTGGTTTCCAACACTTGGCTCATTCTATGGTAAGAGGGTCAGCAGGCAGAAAACTTTTCTACTTACCCCATCAGCATCAAATGCAGCTCCAAACCCGTATTCTCCTCCTTTCATGGCTTCCAAAAGGGTTGTTGCATATGTCAGGTTTGGGTCAGGATGCTGCCCTCCAAAGTCTTCCAGGGGAACACAGTTTATTGCAGAATTGGCTGGGGCCCCCAGCTCATCACACAGAACTTTTCTCACGTACGGTCCCATAACTAAAAAGAGATACACAGCAATGTGATATACTTGCAGAATCCTGCCCCCAGGGTTATTTTGTTCTGGCAAGAACAAGAAATACCATTTAATAGCACCCCTCACAAAAAAACATAAATTCTACAGGCTTTTTCGAGACACAACATAGAGTAATGGTCACTTCAACTATTTATTGAGTATTTACTATGTGCCAGAGACTGTTTTAGGCATATAGAAGATATATTCAATAATCTAGTTACACAAAATTTTTCTCTCAAAATGTTTCTAAGATGTTGCCAGAAAAAAAATCAACTACATAATAATGATTTATTGTCTGTTGCTTTTCACGTATTAAAAGCTTTAGCTGAATATATGCAAAAGCACTAAAGGGCTTTAGCAATGTACTTTGTCTCTGTAATTGTTTGAACTATGCCAAATGTATAATTAAATACTGTAAACCACTGAATCATATAAAACTAAGCACATCTCACAAAATAAATACTAAGGAATAGTATTTTCCAGTTCAATGAACATTTATGGAGTGCCTAACATGGACCTCCTGTGTTAGGAACTGAAGGGATTATACTGAAGGGATGCAAAACATAGTTCCTACATTACTGTGCTCTTAACCTAGTCATGTGATGAGTCAAATCTACAAATGAGTGACTGTAGTGGTAAGACTAAAAAAGAGGGGCCAGTCAGTACACATTCATGAAATAATTAAATCCAAAGGCTTAACAGAAGCAATGACCACAAGTAAGGCTTCAAGGAGAAAGCATCATTTGGGGGGACTTGAAGGAAGCACATAAATTGGACAGAGGTGGGGAATGGGGAGGCCATCCAAGTGGAAGGAACATTAGGAGCAAGGGAACAGGGTCTGAGGTGGAACATAAGGAACATTTGGGGACCAGCATATAATCCTGCTAGCTGAAATGTATGTAGAATGTTGCTTTTCATTTAGTTTCCGCCAGTACAACACAATCTTCAAACACTAAACATCTCTTGATTTTGCCTGCCCTTTCCCATTCCTCTTGAGCAGCAGTTTGAGTTTCTTTTGGAAAACCACTCCCTTCCCCATCTCAGTTCATATGGTCTTGAAATGGCTAAATCCCACTTTCCCTAAAGCTAAGGAGGTAACCTAGATCTGCCTGATTAGTGTCCTCCACCCCCCAGCCAGAGTGATTGATTTGGAGATGGACATATAGTACAAGCCAGGCAATGATGCTCAGACCCAGAAATATTACTCAAATTATTTGGAAAGAAAAGCTATCTTCCCTCTAGGCCACAGAAAGCTAAGAGAAAAAACTGAAATATCTTTTTCTGGGAAATATGACCCAGAAATATTACTCAAATTATTTGGAAAGAAAAGCTATCTTCCCTCTAGGCCACAGAATGCTAAGAGAAAAAACTGAAATATCTTTTTCTGGGAAATACGATCAGCCCAGCAGGAAAGAATAAAGCAGCCCAACCAGAAGCCCTTAAAGTCCATGGATGACAGACTTTGGACTTTCCTGGGCTCAGAAAATGGGCTCAGAGTCCCAATAGAATTTTTAGTGCCTCGCAGACAGCCAAGGATCACCAAAATTTTGAGGAATGCACTTAATGTGAGTCTAAAACAAACAAAGAGTAAAAAGAAACCTGGAGGAAATATAAATTATACAGGGAGAATAAAACTTTCTAGAAAATATCAGTAATATTTTAATAGAGATTAACAAAATAGAGTAAAATGGCTAAAATGGAAAAGACTGGCTAAATACCATGTGCTAGCAAGGATGCAGAGAAACTGGACCTTCATGCATTGCTAGTGGTGTAAATGGGTCAGCTATTTTGGAAAACATTTTGGCAATTTTTGATGCAGTTAAGCATGTATTTAGGCGGGAGCGCCACCGCGCTCCCAAGCGGTGCACTGTAGCAGTGCGCCACCGGGCCGGCCCCCCAATAGAATTTTTAGTGCCTTGCAGACAGCCAAGGATCACCAAAATTTTGAGGAATGCACTTAATGTGAGGCTAAAACAAACAAAGAGTAAAAAGAAACCTGGAGGAAATATAAATTATACAGGGAGAAGAAAACTTTCTAGAAAATATCAGTAATATTTTAATAGAGATTAACAAAATAGAGTAAAATGGCTAAAATGGAAAAGACTGGCAATACCATGTGCTAGCAAGGATGCAGAGAAACTGGACCCTCATGCATTGCTGGTGGTGTAAATGGGTCAGCTATTTTGGAAAACATTTTGGCAATTTTTGATGCAGTTAAGCATGTATTTATCATATGACTCAGCAATCCCACTCAGGTATTTACCCAAGACAAATGAAAACATATGTGCCCCATAAAGACTTGTTCATGAATGTTTATAGCAGCTTTATTTGTAATAGCCAAAAACTGGTGGGAGGGGGAGGAGGAGGCTAATTTTTCTCAACCAGAGGATGGATAAACAAACCATGGTACCTCAATACAACAGAATACTACTCAGCAGTAACAAGGAACAACTACATGATACATGCAATGTTGTGAATTTATCTCAAAAACATAAACTGGTGGGAGGGGGAGGAGGAGGCTAATTTTTCTCAACCAGAGGATGGATAAACAAACCGTGGTACCTCAATACAACGGAATACTACTCAGCAGTAACAAGGAACAACTACATGATACATGCAATGTTGTGAATTTATCTCAAAAACATGCTAAGTGAAAGAGGTCTGAAGTAAAAGACTGCATATTGTATGCTTCCATTTATATGGCTTTCTAGAAAAGGCAAAACTATGGGGACAGAAAGCAGATAAGTGGTTGCCAGAGGCTTGGGGGAGGAGTTTGGCTACAAAGGGCCAAAAGGAACTTCTTGGAGTGATGGAAATATTCTATATCTTGTGATAGTGGTTACCTGACTGCATATGTTTGTCAACCCTCATCAGACTGTATACCTACAATGAGTGAGTTTTACTGTATATAAATTACATCTCAGTAAATCTGACTTTTAAAGATATGGCACCCATGAAACATGACTAGGATGCTATTTTTTTAAAAAAAGAATATTTGGAAAACAAAAATAAAATGTTTGGGGATATTTGAAAAATGATAGTGGAACTTAAAAGCTTAATGGAAGGACTAGAAGATAAAGTTGAGGAAATATCCCAGAAAGCAGAACAAAATGAAGAGATGAAAAATTGAGGGACGAATAAGGGAAGAATAGGATAATTAAAGGATCAGTCCAACAGGGCCAATATCTAAACAACAGCCACTCTGGAAAGAAAGGAAATAGAAAGAGAGGAAATCATCCAAGAAGTAATTCAAGAAAAATTCCAGCTAATGGCTATAAGACAGTGGAGCAATGCCCTCACACTTCTAAAGGAAACTAATATCCAACTTGAATTTCTATATTCAGACAAACGTCAATCAAGAGAGAGCACAGAAAAAAGATATTTTAGATATGCAGTGACAAAATATTTACCCACTGTGAGCTTTCTCTCACTGAACTCCTAGAGAATGTGTTCCTCCAAAATATAGGAGTAAATAAAGAAAGTGGAAGGAAAAGGAACAAGGAAACAGGAAATTGAATATAAAAGAAGGGTAAAGAAAATTACTACAATGATGATAAGTGGAGATTCCAGGACAAGAGCAGAAACAACCAGGGCAGAGAGGGGCAGATCAGAGGTCTCCAGGAAAATGAAGTGAGAGAAGATTTAGACACCAGGGGAGAGTTTGGGGGCTAATAACAGTAAATACATTTAACAAAAACTAAGCAAAGAGAAAACAAGATAATTACTTATCCCAAGGAAATAAAAAAGGTGTGCTACAAAGGAAATATATGGTTTGTTGCAGGGCTTAGTAGGGTTGTAATAATGTAAATACAGAATACTGATTTTTTTTTAATTTAGGGAAATATGTTTGGATTTGGTGGGTGGAGAGAGTGAAAAAGAGCTACAATTTCACCTTCCATAGTATGAAGTCAGTAATCCTCACAACTGAAAAATCAGCAAGGAAATGTATATTCATGGTATTTAGTGATAAGGAGATAAATACTAAAAGAAATAGCTAAAATTGTTGACAAAGGTTGACTCTGGAAAGTAGGATATTAGGGGAAGGAGGGCATTGGAGGTAGATTTTTTAAATAATAAACTTTGAACTACTTGACTGTTAAAAATATAGCATCTTTAAAAATAAATAAATAAAACAATATTACTTCTTTAAAAAGTGGTGAGGAAATAAATGTAAATAGAAAATCAATGACCAAAAAACAAAAACAGAAAAAAAAGAAAAAGAAAAGAAACCATGGCATGCACTACTGTGACCAAACAGTAAATAAATGAATGACTATTCTACCCACCCCACACTCTCACAGGCATAGCTTCAAACTCATTTGTTCAACTTTTGTTTTTATTCATAACCAAAGAGAGAAATTAGAGTCTTGAAGCTTTCCAGAACATTCCAAATATCTGAACATACGGATGTTGTGTGAATATCTATTAATGCAACCTTCCTTATAATCTCAGAAACCCATCATGTGTAGAGGTCTCCCCAACATTTCCTGCCCACTGATTTGTAGAAAACCATGAGCTTACCTCCATGCATTGCATCAACGCGGATCTTCAGTTGGCCTGGCCCAGTGAGCAAACTCTTGATGGCATTAAAGTCAAAGATGGTCCGAAGGAGGTTGAGATAGATATCCACTGGGTCCACTATCTCCACTAAAGACAGAGAAATGTCAGTGTCTGTACTCAGGAAAGATACTTGGAAGCATAAAACACAATCAGTACCCGAATAGCATGAAATTCTGATCACAATCACATCATAATCCCACACATTATGTGGGAAGTGAAGTGTCCATTTGTAGACAAAATTGCAAATCAAGGCACAATCAAGATGCTACAAACTTTTCAAATGATCAATAGGTGTAAATAATATCAAGTTATAAATATTTCTTTGCAAGTGAAAAATCAACCACAAGAATAAGATAGAAATGTGCCCGGTTACCCCTGCCTCCACCTTCTTTCTGCCACCTCTGTCTCAAAACATGCACACATCTCAATGCTGAGAGGCATCCTGGCACATCCAGTTGCCTTTCCTGTGGGGGCTGGCCAAAGAATGACTCAGATGGTGTGAAACAAATCAAGGAGTGACCTCAGCAGTGACCCCTATTTTCCAAATGCCATTGTGCCTACCAGATCTTAGTGTGGAATTGGTGATGAAGGATATACTCCTGAGTTTGCATGAAATCTCTCTCATGTCCAATCTAGTACCCAGTGTCCAGATGAATGCCAAATATTTAGAAATCCTTATTAAAGACAAATGCTCTCCAGTGTCTGGTATCACCAGTGACTAGGAATTCAAAACAAATCTTTTCCATTTATTTGACATTCAAAAAAACTAGATTACGACTAATGTTACATTTTTCAAACTTGGCAATCAGTAACTAATTAATGCTCACAAAGTACTTCTCCTGGAAATAGTAAATATTTGACTCCATAGGCACTAAAATTAGTTCAGGAGCCCAATTCATAATTAAATTTTGAAAATTTTTTATATTGTTTTACAAATTTTTCAAATACATACTACTTCAGAACCCTGAAATATTTAAACCTGCACTGAAGATAATAACAATCCACCTTTGATAATTTTCAGTAAATTTCGGTGCAATATTTAATGGATGAGATTTTAATATGTGATATAATATTATCCCTTCATCTGGTCAAATACACATCTAAAAATATTTCCTTACACTTAGATCACTGTAGTATGTGTATCCATTTAAATATAATGTCATTACTTTTTAAGGAACACGAATATAATAATAAAATAATTATCTTTTGACATGAGAGGGACATATTAATCTATAAAATAACCAAAAATGAATCCATATAAACTGTACACCTAAAAATGGTTAAAATGGTAAATTTGATGCTATGTAAATTATGTTATGCATATTATATCACAATAAAAAAATTAATCTATAAAATAAAAAGTTATGTCCTGTGTACTTTAGAAGTTTTACTCACTCTACAATATAGGATAAGACTTACGGCAATTTCATTCTAGCTCTTCAATTATTGAACCACTTGCCTAAATACATTTGCTATTTAAAGCAGCTAATACATAGTACCAAACACAAATGTGAAAAACAAAGAAGCAAGGAGAAGTCATTGAAAATTGAGAGTTCACATAAAACAGTTCATGATCTTGATACTTTAAAGTAAAATGCCAAGGACTGATTTGTTTCCAATTATCTCAAGCCTTGCTCAACACTTGGAACCACAAGAATACAGCACATAAATGGTCCTAAACAATTATCTCCAAATTCTTCTTGGGAGCCAGAAATCCCTTCATCCACTCCTGGCATCAGTATCATTTCAGAAAATTCATACCACTAGCAATGTGGCTGCAGCAATGGTCATGAATCTAAAATCACCAAAGATTTGGGTCTCTTAGACAACTACAAAATTTGTGAAGATACCAAAAACAAACAAACAAACAAACAAAAAAATAAATAAATAAAGATAACTTTTTCCTGATGGTAATGCCAGATTTTTCTGATATCTTATAGCCCAGTCCTTCCAAACATATGTAATCGAGCATATTTAAATGATTTTGTTCAACACTGCATCTTCTCCCTGCCTTTAGCTCTCTGGCCATTCCATGCATGTGCACACACATGTATGTGCATGCCTCCCACTGGACTAACAAAAGCAGGCACTAGTGCTTGTAGGGAGTGGTGCATGGCTTTCAATAAATTTCTGCTCATTAGCTAAGCAAACGATTGACTCCAGACTTTTCAATAAAGATTTGGTAGCATTGGCCCAACACTGTGTCCCTAAAATATCATGTGGCCATGAATCAGGTATTTCATCTTTTAAGTTAAGTTAAATTACTTAGGACATAAGGATACCATCAGAACACCAACCGTATTCAAGCTTATAGGAGCACAAAAGAAGATGTGTTAGTTCTCTTGCTACTTGTATATCTTCTAGGAAAAAGCAATAAGATAAAATTACGTGCCTATAAATGGTATTAATGTTGTTATATGGTCCAAAAATAATCTTTAAATAAAAAGTTATGCTCTGAGTACTTTAGAAGTTTTATTCACTCTACAATATAAGATAATATTTTTGCAAATTTTATACTTTAGTTCTTGCACCACTTGCCTAAATACATTTGGTGCTTATTGAATTCCTTTGTAAAATCTAATACAGGGTATGGTATAGAGTAGATGATCAATACTTGCATCTTAAATTAAGGTGAACTGCATGGTTCTGGCTTGGAAAAGAAATTCCTACCTTCTATGGGAAATGTAATAACCCCGTTGACTTGCTAGGTCTCTTCTTAATTATCTGAGATATTCCAGCATCTTCACCTTAATTGTTTAGAAAGTCAGTAAGTTTCAGCAATTCACAGCCTATTCTTCAAATGCTGTAATACAGTCAACCATAAAACTTTTCCTATGTTGAAGATGATATAGAGTTTGGGAAGTGATTTTTAAAGGTTTCCAGTTCTGAATACTATGACCATTGTCATTTCTCTCTGCATTGTATTCAGTTTCCACCTATTTATCAAGAGTCACCCCTGAGACTGATAATTCAACAATTTCCATGCATGCACTCTCCTACAGAAACCACAGTCACCCCCACACCTGGAGTTATTCTGACTTCTTCAAAATGTAATCTCTCTAGTACCTCTGAATGGTTTGAATTTGTTTTCAAGGTCAAATTCCTGTCTTCCAAGTCGAGACAGGTCGATTCGAAGATCAGGACATATGGCGTATTCCTCAATTGTTTTGCTGATCTGATAGATTTTGTCTGAGACGACATCTGGTGCTGGACCTAAAATTTGAAAAACACATTTTCAAAAAAGTCTCAGGAATTTCCATCAGAGAAATATTACCATCCTCTTCCACCAGGCAGGAGGAAGATTCGTTTGTTCTCTAAACAATGAACAAGGGTTCTGAATTCAATTAGCCTCAATATTTCTTAGGACATATTCATCCACTAGGGGAAATGTGGTCAGCCTCACCTGTTCTAAGCAGATTAGTAACCCACATGTTTGTTTGTTTTAGTCCACTTCTAAGCAATGATACATCTTCTCTAAAAATAGATTCACACCTGCCAGGGAGACCTGATTATGTAATCAGCTTTTTTCAGGATATGAGACACAAACAGAATATGCATTTGACAGAAGTGAGGGATTCCAGATTTAAACTGCAGCTTCCCAAGTGCACCTAGGAAAAGAAAATATGATTTCTACTCCCATCTCAGCTGCCTAGCTGAGATGCGAGATTAACAGGATAAATTAATTACTTTCACCAACTCATAGTCTCTGGTCACTCCAAAGTTTTTTAAATGAAGCTTAACTAAAAATTTGATGCATTTTCTCAGAAGGCAAGTTGATAATTAAGAAGTAACAAATTTTAAATGAATTAAACATAAAAACAGTAATTGTTCTCCTTTCCATTTTCTTTTCTTTTTAATGTGTATCTCTTAATGCAAGACACTTTAGGTATTTTTTGCAACAAGGTTGAGAAATATAAACAAATAGATTAAAAGATCTAAAACATAAAGATAGATAGATACTTTGTGTATGACTATTCCTTGCCAAGTATATTGTAACTTTCTACTAACCAGAAATTGTTTCTTGACTTTTTTTTTTTTTTTATATTCCAATCTTTAGAGCCCACTCTCCAATACAATAGTCACCAGCCACATTTGGTCTGTTGAGAACTTGAAATATGACTGTCATGTGCTCAAACTGACATGTGCTGTAATTGTGCACACCAAATGTTGAACACTTAGTAAAAAAATGTAGTCGATCACATTAATAATTTTTATATTGATAACATGTTGAAATGATAATATTTTGGGTTATAGTGGGTTAAATCAAATATGTTATTAATTTCACTTGTTTCTTTTTACTTTTTTTTATGTGGCTACTAAAAAACTTTAAGTTGTATATGTGACACGATATATTTCTATTGAGCAGCACTGCCTTAGAGTGTAGCACTCTTACTGTCTCCCAACAAATGCTCATAAAAAGGAACAGCAACAGCTTCATTCCAGTATGTGAGTGATAAGGCAGCCTCGTAGATTTTATCAACAATTGTTTTTTTTTTTTGTGACCGGTAAGGGGATCGCAACCCTTGGCTTGGTGTCGCCCGCACCGCACTCAGCCAGTAAGCGCACCAGCCATCCCTATGTAGGATCCGAACCCATGGCAGGAGCGCCGCACTCTCCCGAGTGAGCCATGGGGTCGGCCCTTACCAACAATTGTTTTGTTGTATAGGAACAGAGAAGAACTTAAAGAAATAAACATTGCCCTTTTTATTCACTCCTTGTCACTTTTTACCTTTCATGAAACTTAATAAGTAGTCTTGTTTAGTTTTTGCATTTTTATACTTTGCAGATTAGAGAATGCTTGAATATCCCCCAATACCCCCTGCACCCCAGGCACTATGTTCTTTGGCTGTGTCCATCATTTTAAAGAAGTTTCTCGGTTTTAATATCAAAACACACTGGTTTACAAAAGTAAAGCAAGTTCTAGCACACTAGGTACAAGGGTACTTCAAAAAGTTTATGGATCCTTGTACTGGCCAGATATAAAAAAATAATAATAATTAATTAATTTAAAGGATCATGGAAAGATTCATACCATCTCTCAGTTCTATTTTTCCACAAACCTTTTGAAGCACCTTGTAATTGTCCGTGCTGCCCCTCAACCATCCACATTGATGAACGTCAGAGTTCATCAACAATTTCCAAATTCTTTGATAATCTCCAAGTTCCTTGACATTTTCCATGCTAATGATCTTCCTCTTCATTTCCTTTAATCACTGTCTGGCACTGTGATACCTTAAATATTATTGTCTCTTGAAATTGTTCTTTCAAAAATATCAAATTCGAGTTTTCTCCACAAATTCCTCATCTTCCATCTATCTGACTCTGAGCCTGCTTCTCACTTGTATACTGATGCCTGTCACCACTTGATTGACACTGGGCCACCAGTCTATTCTAGGTTCATTGGTCTCTTATTCTAACAGGACCCTGTGGTTCACTGTTTGAGCCATGCCTTGTGGGCACAATAACACAAGCCAACATTCACTGAAACTTAACATATACCACATTTTACACTTTATATGGAAGGGAGTGCTCAACAAAGCAGATGAAGAATTATTAACCTCATTTTCCAAATGGGGAAACTGAAATTGTAAAAGATGAAGAAGCTGAACCAAGGTCACATCACAGAGGCTGGATTTGAAACCTCACAGTCTAATGTCAACTTGGACACTCTTAACAACTACTAGCCCTCTTGATGCTCTGCAATGCCCAGAGAGCCATTCCCCAATCTCAGGACACAGGTATCATATGTTCCCATCGTTACCATTCCCAAACTCCCATGCATTGATGGAGGCAGTCACAAAATTAAAATCACAAGCTGGCTCCCCCTAAGGATGAAGGTGCTTTACCTCATCTTGGTCCTCACAACTTTTCAAGAATCCTCAACAAATTTCCCAGAGTACCTTTTATAAAGCATCTCCATTTATCCCAAGTCCTTTCTCTATTCTTGCCCCATTATCTTAGCAAACATTCTTTCTTCATACTTTTTGGGGGCAGATATAGGCAAGTATTTCTTAAAATTTTCATTTTATACCTCTCAATGTTGCTTCTTTGCCCATCTTTGCCTCCTTACTTGAATATTCTTCTCCTTTCCTGGAATCTAGGTTCTTAATTAGCTCCACAATTTACTAATTGTGTGATACTTGTCAAACTTTTTAAACCGTTTTATTCCTCGGTGACTTCATCAGGTTGTTATGAGGAATAAATGGGGTGATGTGTGAAAAGTGCTGAGCATGGTTCCAGGACATTGTAAGTATTCAAAAATCAGTATGTTTACCATTGTTTTTCATTTCTCCTTACCACCAGCATTTCTCCTCTACTTAAAAACATACTCAGAATGGCCCTGTCCTCTAAACATATTTAAAAAGCAACAAAGCTTCAAATGTGTCCCATTTCCCTGGATGTGCCTACTAATTCTATCAACACTCAGTCTTTAATTCATTAAAAGCTTCAAATGTGTCCCATTTCCCTGGATGTGCCTACTAATTCTATCAACACTCAGTCTTATTCGATAAGATGTACCTGCATGACTCATAATCAGAAGAGATGAATGCCTGCAACTTCAGAAGAAGAATGTTATGGTAAAACTTATTCTATTTTGAGCAGGAAGAAACCAACTGAATCTCTTTGTGCCACTAGGATTGTTAATTTCATTAATGATGACAAGAGATGCAAACATGAATAATTAATTAAATGTTAGAGGAAGGATTTTCAACATAGTTAAAAGCTGAGTGATAAATTCAATCCCTGCCACCCACTCAAGGTATGACTGAGTCTCATAACCTCCTGTAATTTAGCCTATAAAATGGGTATACAAAAAGTTATAAGGTGGTATCTCTTAGTGATTTTAATTTGCATTTCCCTGATGATTAGTGATGTTGAGCACATCTTTCCATATATCTGTTAGCCATTTTCATGTCTTCTTTGAAGAAATGTCTGCCCAGGTCCTTTGTCCATTTTTTAATCAGGTTCTTTGCTTTTCAGCAATGAATTTTAAGAGCTCTTTATAAATTTTGGATATTAACCCATTATCAGATATGTGGTTTGCAGATATTTTTCCCAGTCTGTAGGTTGCCTTTTCATTTTGTTATTTCCTCTGCAGTGCAGAAGCTTTGTCATTTGACATAGTCCCATTTATTTATTTTTGCTTTTGTAGCCTGAGATTTTGGTGTGATGTGAAAAAAAATCATTGCCAAGGCCAATGTCAGGGAGCTTTTTTCCTATGTTCTCTTCTACAAGTTTTATGGTTTCAGGGCTTGCATTTAGATTTTTTAATCCATTTTGAATTGATTTTTGTGAATGATGTAACATAAGGGTCCTATTTTAATTTTTTGCATGTGGAAATCCAGTTTTCCCAGCACCATTTATTGAAGAAACTACACTTTCCCTATTGTGTCCTCTTGTGTCCCTATTTGTCCTTTTCAAAAACTGGTTGACAATATGGTATGTTTGACTTTATTTCTGGGCTACCTATTCTGTTCCATTGATATATGTTTCTGTTTTTATGCCAGTACCATACTGTTTTGATTACTATAGCTTTGTAATATCATTTTAAATTAGGACATGTGATGCCTCCAACTTTGTTTTTCTTTCTCAGTATTACTTTGGTTATTCAGTTTTCTTTGCAATCTCATACAAATCTGAGGACTTTTTTTTCTATTTCTGTGAAAAATGCCACTGGAATTTCAAAAGGGATTGCATCAAATCTGTATATTTCTTTGGATGGTATGGTCATGTTAACAATATTAAATTTTCTGATCCATGAACACTTGGTCACGATGTGTAATCTTTTTGATGTGTTGAATTCCACTTGCTAATATTTTATTGATAATTTTTGCATCAATGTTCATCGGGAGCATGGCCTGTAGTTTTCTTTTCTTGCAGTATCTTTGTCTGGCTTAGGAATCAAGGTGATGCTGGCCTCCTAAAATGTGTTTGGAAGAATTCCTCTAGCTTTTATTTTTTTTTTGAAGAGTTAAAAAGTATTGGTAATAATTCTTCTTAGAATGTATAGCAGAGTTCTGCCATGAAAATACCTGGTTTATGGTTCATCTATGTTGGAAGGTTTTTAATTTCAACTTTAATCTCTTTATTTGTTATTGGTTTCTTCAAGCTTTCTATTTCTTCCTGATTCAATCTCAGTAGGTTATATTTTTCTAGGAATTTATTCATTTCCTCTAGGTTATTCAATTTGTTGGCATAAAATCTTAAAGATTTCAGGAAGAAGATTGAAATCATATCTTGTATTGTTTCCAATCACAACAGTATGAAACTAGAAATCAATAACAGGAGGAATCTTGGAAAATTTACAAATATGTGTAAATTAAACAACGTCCATCTGAACAACCAAAGGGTCAAAAAGAAATCAAAGGGAAAATTTAAAATATATTGAGACAAATGATAATAGAAACCCAACACATCAAAACCTATGGAATGCAGCAAAAGCAGTTCTAACAGGGAAGTTTATAGCAATAAATGCCTATGTTAAAAAAGAAGAAAGATTCCAATAAATAACCTAACATTATGACCAAAGGACCTAGACAAAAAAGAACAAATGAAACCCAAATTTACAGAAGGAAATAATAAAGATCAGAACAGAAATAAATCAAACAGAGAACAGACAGACTATAGAAAAAAATCAATAAAGCCAAGAGTTTAAGAAATAAAATTGACAAACCCCTCTCTAGATTAAGAAAAAAAAAAAAAGAAGAAGAAGAATCAAATCAGTAAAATCAGAAACGAAGGTGGAAACATTACAACAAATGACTCAAAAATGAAAAGGATCATAAGGGACTATTACAAATTAATCAGTAATTCATTGCTGTTATGAATTATTTCTGGTCCGAGGCAAAACAGTGCATTCCAAAGAGAAAGTTTATTAACTCCTGCAATTTTGCTAATTGTTTTCTGATTGTTTTATACTTCTTTTGTTTCTCTCTTGTTATCTACATTTGGTAATTTTCTGATGTGTTAAGCTTTGATTCTTTTTTCTTCTCATTTGTGTACCTGTCGTTTTCTGCTCTATGGTTACCATGTTGTTGTTGTTTTTAACACTCAACATGAATGAAGTTTCTTGTTTGGATAATGTGCAAAATGACTACAAGGACAGAGAGATGATAAACTTTCCCTTCAGAATGCATTGTTTTGCCTTGGACCAGGAATAATTCATAATAGTAACTGTCATCAGTTAAAATTTAGCTACCCCCCACACACATGCAGACTCAGTGTTCTAGGTTAAAAGAGATTTAAGAGACTTAACCAAATACATGGTTCTGGGATGCCTCCTGGTTTGAATAAAACACCTACAAATAATATTTTGGGGATCACTGGTAAAATTCAACTATGTATTAGGTTTCCAATGGTATTAGAGAATTAGTAGTTATTTTTGTTTGGTGTTTTATGTAGTTATGCAGGAATGCGCCTTTCTTTTTAAGAGATGCATACATTATTTTGTATTTTGTGTATGAAATGTATCCATGATGCAGTTTGCCTTTAAATTCTTCAGGGGGAAAAAAAAGATAAGCAAAATGGAAAAACAAGGTAATGGATACATGGTGCCCATTTGTTATTCTCCCTACTTCATGTTCAATTTTTTAAAGAAATTCACCCCTATACATATATCCCATCCACCACTAGGACCTCCAAATTTAAATTTCTGTAAATATAAGAGAAAGTGAAGTAATTCTGTGCAGTTCAATGACAGAAAGTGAACACTGTAAGAAAGAGAGAGTCCAGGTCTTAGGCTACAAATCATTTGTCTGACCCTGAGCAATCATGTGACCCTCAGCAGTAATTCAGTCTCTCAGGACTTCAATTTGTTCATCTGCAAGATGAGGGGAATGGTCTACATGACCTTCAAGATATGTTTCAACTTTAAGATCCAGAGTCCTTCCATATCAGATAAGCATCAACTCTTCAACTGCGTCACTGTGTGAGGGGTACAGCAGATCGGGAGACCAGCCAAATGGGCTCAAGAGCCTTTGATGCCACCTCTTTGTCCTATCCCCTTGGGCACCTTGCTGGATTTTTCTAAGCTATTTCCTCTCGGCCTTGCTTGTCTACCATTGGAGGGTCACTGTAAGACTATGTTAACCCCAAAGGAAAGAAATCATGATTATTAAGGCATAATCTGAACCACATACCTCCATTGGCAACATTAAACTTGACTCCAAACTCTCCCCCTGGTCCTCCGGGGCAGTGGCTGGCTGTGAGGATGATTCCACCTGCTGCCTTGATCTTCCTGATAATGCAAGAAACCGCAGGTGTCGACAAGATGCCATTCTGTCCAATAATCAGTCTTCCAATCTAGACCATCCAGAAAAAAAAAATCCAGTTGCATGGGATTGAAGGTATTTCAACAGGAAAGTGCCTCAGGCTCCATTAACATACAGTCAATCACTCACAAAAGGAATTGAGTGGGCTTTGGGTTAAGGAGAGGAAGAGAGGGTGAGCTCTGGCATTGTCTTTCCTGCCCAATGTCTCCAAGACCATTTGGGGCATCCATATTGAGTAGTTAGTTATTAACCTATCAATATGATATGCCTCATAAATCTTCAGTAGTTTAAAACACCTGCTTTTGATGACCAAGGGGTTAGCTTGACACACACAAGAAGCTCTGGGGTTTTTTTCTTTTTAATTTTTTTTTCTTAATTGGCCCATGATAATTGTATATATTTATGGAGTACAATATGATAATTCTTAGTTTGGTACTGACTCAAACTATGCCCACAAACATGCTTGAAATTACAAGAAAAAAGAAATGGAGTGCTTCTGTGCTTGCCGTGCTTTCTCTGCCTCTGAACAAGCTCACACAGCAAGGAGACCTGATTTACTGCAACTGCATTATCAGCTGGCCTATTTTAACTGTATTCTTCAGGAATGACTGCTCTTCTAAAGGCAGAGATTCTATTTCTGCTGCTAAGTGACAGCATGTGCTGGGGACATTGGAGAAATTATATAGTCATGCTAAATGGAGATCTGGAGGTCATTCATGGCTGTTGCCAGACTCTTTCCATAGATACAAAACTGACTGTTTAAAAAGTCTGCTCTATGGCCCTGAAGAGCATTATTCGCTATGCTTCATTTTAAAATAAGTTTCAATCTCACCCAATCCGGTGGTGCTCAAATGTTTCTACCAATCGGAATCACTTAGGAAGCTTTTAAATATCCCAGTACTTAGACTGTATCCCAGACTAATTATATTGCAGTCTCTGGGGGGTGAGATATAGTTATTAGTAGTTTTTAAAGCTCCACAAGTGATTACAATGTTCAGCCAAGCTTGGTGATCAAACCCCCTCGTAACTCAAAGAACCAGCAGCTTGACAGAAATACAGATGCTCAAGGCCCACCCAAAACCTACCAAATAAAAATCTGTATTTTAACAAGATCCCTTCCTCTCTTCTCAGATAATTCATCTGAGGAATGCTAATGCAACCCACAGCCAAGGAAATATATATATATATTATATGCTAGAATTTTCTGAATTACACATATTACCACTTAACATTTTCTACATTATTTGTTTATCTCCCTACTATATATAAGCCCCCAAAACTGTTTTTTTTCACTGCTATATCCCAAGACCGTAGAACAAACCTGGCATGTAGTGAGTGCGTGATAAATATTTGCTGGGCTAATTAATGAGAAAAGATAAATGAATAATGAGTGGCTGCTCTGTGAAAAACACCTTGAAGAGGAACAAGAGCAGAAGGAGGAAGATCAGATGGGAGGTCGTCAGAGGTGAGTGTTCATAGTGTCTTGGACTAGGCTAGAGGCTGTACAAATGAAGAGAAGTTATTCAATTTGAGATGTTTTTGGAAGGAGAATGAACATAACATGCAGGTGGAATGAAATATGGGATAGAGGCACTACGGTAGCCAGCCTCCCAAATGGCTCCCAGTGGTCCCTGCCGCTCAGCACTTGTGCCTTTGTGCAGTCCCCTCCCACATGGAATAGTTCAGATCTGGGTGATCAGTGTAATGTTACAGAGTGATAGTGTGTAGCTTCCAGGGGGAAGCCATAAGTGACACTGACTCTTCCACCTTGCTCTCTTGGACTATCATTCTGGGAAAAACCAGCCACCATGTCATAAAGACACTCAAGGAGCCCCATGTAGAGTCCCATGTGGAGAGGAACCAGGGCCTCCCCCAGCAGCCAGCACCAACTTGCCAGCCACAGAGTGAGCCATCCTGCTATGGATGCTCCAGCCACTGCCACACCATCATATGACAAAACCCAGCCAGCATTTGAATGTGACCTCATGAGAATCCCCTAGCCAGAACAACCCATCTCCTGTCTCCCAGAAATAATATGGATGTGTTGCTGTTTTAAGCCATTAAGTTTTGTGGTAATTTCTTACACAGTAATAAATAACTAATACAGGAGCAGTGAGAAAAGGACTCAAGAATAACTCCTGGCTTTCGACCTTTAATAGCTTTATGGCTAGGGGTGCCATTTATCAAGACAGGAAACACAAAAGACAATAATTACACTCAGTTATTAGCCAGAGCCATGATAAATTATTTTCCATATGCTCTTGTTAAAATTTGTGTAGTCATTCAACTAATTTTATTGGGTGCCTACCATGGAACATGCAATATAGAAGGCCCTGCAGATTTAGCAATGAATACAATTCAGTCACTTTCCTTAAGTAGTAAGTTTGGAGAGTCAAGAATCTGAAAAATATTTGTAACTTTTATTCATAATTTTGTATCTTTCCTGTTTTTCACAATTACTCTTAAAGAAATGATCTTTAAAAGGGGAAAAGTACATATATGTAGATATTTTCTGCAGTGATATTTATTAAAAATAAAGATTTTAAAACAATCTTTATAAATGTCTAATAATACAAAACCTGTTAAATAAAGTGTGGTGTATCAACTTATGGCATATTAATTAAGCCATTTAAAGAGAAAATTGTGAAGACTGTATTGCTGTGGCAGATTTGGTGAGCTGTCCACAAGAATTTATGATCCCCCTTTCGAAGCATAGCCTCATTGCTAAGGGGTAGCTGCCTAGCCAGGGGCTACATTTTCTAGTCAGCTCTCACATCTGCGTGTGGCCACAGGATGCATTTTGACAATGGGTGATAAACTAATGTGTGAATGGAAACAGAAATAAAGTTTGTTCCTTCTGGGCTGAGGATATGAGGAAGGAGGTAATTTCTTTGCTACACTGTTTATTTTTCCTTCTACAGGCTGGATACAGATGACGACATGGCTCTAGGAGATGCCAGAGCCACAGATGGAAGAAACCTGGGTTCCTGTCTGACTGGATTGACAAGAGCCTTTGCTCACCAGGATCAGCTACATTGGACTATTATGTGAGTGAGAAATAACTTCCTGTTGTTTTTAAAACAATAAAAAGGCTTACATTTCAGGTTTATTTGCTATGACAATCTGCCTTTTATTAAGTGATAGAGAAAGGAACATAGATAATGCCTTAATGCTAAATTAAAAATGTAGAATACAGAATTATTATTATGCTATTACAACAAT